CTGTCGGTTCAGCAATTTCTCACTTGGCGACCTTACTGTCCACATCCACAACATGCTCCACTTCTACCTTGGCAATGGCCACTCCTATGCCTCTTTCCACAAGACCGACATGCGGCGTTGGAGTAGTAGTTCGGTTTTCCAAAGTTCTTCCTTACCGAAGGGACAAGTCTCATATTCTCTGTCATAGACTTCTTCCCAAGTTCCTATTGTCCTTAACCGGCGCGTACCGCGATCCAGAAGCGGCAGCCCTTTCACTCATATCCATTTCAACCATCGAGCCCTCTCATACAGCTCATTGTAATCCCTTAAGACTCAAGAGTACTAACTGACTGCGGAGTTCCGATTTTAATCCATCCTGGAACCTCCTTATCCTATCCACATGGTCCTTGACCATCCTTGGTGCGTACTTAGACAACCTTACAAACTTGACCTCGTACTGATCGACTGACATCCGATTTTAGCGAAGCCGAAGAAACTTTGTCTTTTTCTGTTCTCGCGCACTCTTCGAAAAGTACTTTCCATTGAAAGCCTCGACCAAAGCACACCAATACTTCAAAGCCTTTTTCCAACTCTTATATCCAAAGTGATGTAGCCTCGGGGTCACTTTTCCCATCAAACTTCGGAGGTTTCAATTTCAAAAATTGCTCAACTAGTTATTGCATCTGTCTGACTGCATTAACTTGCCCTTGACCTTGATTCCCATCATTCCCATTAAAATTCCAACTTCCTCGCGTGCCCTCAGAATTCCATCCACTCTGGGATCCTCTGCAACTCCAGCTTGCGAACCTACACGACCTCGACCTTGACTGCTCAAACTCACAGGGTCACACCACTCACTTACCTACTATAATTCTCCTCGGGAATTAAAGGCATAGGCCAACTATACCGGTCTAAAGTCCTAGGCAATGAATCACAACAATAATTCACTAAGCAGGCAACCAATCACAAACAACACCCAATCACAACCAACAAAGTTCGTGCACTTACCTCAAGTCCTGACGCACCTGCACCTCACATAATATTGCATAAAATCACTCAGCAATCACAATCACATAGTCTGGGGTACGCATGGCACACAAGTCTCCCTAACTAACTACCCCAAAGTCATCGCTCCTTATCACTTCAGGCTTCGACCAACTTGGATCGAGCTAACCTTGCTCTGATACCAAATCAACCGGGATGTCACGCCCCGAACCCCAACGGGCTCGTGACACCCCTTTGCTGGTCGTATTGAACGCGACGTCCCAGGACGCGTCGCCGACCCAAAAGAAACACCCACACGAGTATGCAAGCGGAATCGAATTTTAAAATAACCCAGACAATAAAATATGACAGAGGGGTAACAATTGCACAAACCAACAATAGCATAACATTAGAAAAACCGTCATTTACAAAATCCAACCTTACATACAAAGGCCACTAGGGTTAAAACCACCATCATCAAAAAGAGGCAAGTGGTCAGGTAGGCTAGCCTAACTATACCAAAAGGGTCCACCGGCTCCATGGGCTCCTCTTCGGGGTGTTGCTCCATCGGCTCTTCCTCAGGATCCCAAAACGCTGTGACGGACCATCCATGGTCGAGGTCGGGGGTCTGAAATGGTTATATAATAGCCATGAGAACGAGTCTCAATAAGCAACAACCTAAACCTCACGTAAACCAATGCGTACCCAGACAAGTCTTAACATGCAATCTAACCAGTAACATACAAAATTCACATACACGCACTTACCTCGTCTCAATCCACACGCCCACTCTGCATATTAGTTAAACACTATAATGCAATAATAATCTAGGAACATAACATCACCACTCAAACGCCATAACCACGCATATTCAATCACACTCAATTCGCATGTGTGGTCGAGCAACTTTCCACGACCTGGGTCAACACCCCACAGGTCAGCCCTCCGATCAAGCCGGTATCCGTCCCTCACTGGACATTTCACACTTTCACACGACCCGCGTAAACACGCCTCAGGTCAGCCCTCCGATCAATCCGAGCTCCATCCCTCACTGGACATTTCACACTCACATGACCCGTGTAAACATGCCTCAGGTCCTTTCTCAAAGCCCGCATAAACATGCTTTAAGCTCAGCCCTCCGATCAAACCGGGCTCAGTCCCGCGTAACCACGCCTCAAGACATTTCTTTCTTTCCCATGACCCGCGTAAACACGCCTCAGGTCGAACTTTCCTTCCACGGACCACCGTCAACACGTCTCAAGTCCGTTAACTTTCATTTTACGGACCACCGTCAACACGTCTCAAGTCCGTTCTTACAGGTACACATGTCACACAATTCAATCAATTTCCAAAGACCGCCGTCAACACGTCCCAGGTCTAACTTTCCTTCCACGGACCACCGTCAACACGTCTCAAGTCCGTTAACTTTCATTCTATGGACCACCGTCAACATGTCTCAAGTCCGTTCTTACAGGTACACATGCCACACAATTCAATTTGTCATTCTCACACGTCATATTAATCAAATCCCAATCAAGAGTTCACCAACAAGCCTACCCATCCGACATTCAAGTCGGCCCAATCAAATGTCAATTTCACCCACAAACGCCATGACAATTTGATGATTGTACCCACATAATTTAGCCACTAAACATGCCACATAATCACCACAATTCAATCCACCAATTAACCACATTTATAATTTGGCCCTAACAGAAGTTTAATCCCTAAACCGGTACTAATCACACCCTAAACAAGTCTAAAAATACCCATTAGACTAAATAGGGATTAGGAAGTCACTTACATAAGTTTGGCCCGGGAAAAATCCACACGGGCTCAAAATGGCCCGGGTGAACAGCACGGGCAAGGGCTCGACGGGCGCGGGGCTTGGCCATGGCTCGGCACACGGCCCGGCGACTCGGCCACGGGAAAGGGCAGCGGCTTGGGCACATAGCCCGGCTACTTGGCCATGGCCTGGACACACAACCCGGCTACTCGGCCATGGCCTGGGCACATAGCCCGGCTGCTCGGCCATGGCCCGGGCACGCTCGGGCATGGCTGGGCTGCTCGGCCGGCGAGATAGGCTGGCTGGCCGGCGAGCTGGCTGGTTGGCTAGCTGGCTTGGAAGGCGAGCGATGGCGGCGATGGCGGCTGGGCTGCGGAGGCTCGGCCACGATCGGGATAGTCCGGCTAAGGCTGAGCTGGGGCGGTGTTGGGTGGACCTGGCAGGCACGGCAGCTGCAGGTGACTGTGTAGGGTGGCTGAGGGCTGGGTGGTGGCGGACGGAGTAGCGGTAGCGGCCGGAACGATGGCGCGCAGCGACTGGACGAGGTGGAGCCGGACAGGAGGGAGAGGAGCTCGGGGAAGAAGAAACACGAGAAGGAAGGTCGGCGGCGAGAACGGCGGGGCCGGCGACGGTTGGGGGTGGCACGGCGACGTCGTAGGCGGCGGAGCGAAGCAGGACGGCCGGCTGGGCATCGCCAGGCCGTGATAGGCGCGGCGGCGGTCGGGCGCAGCGAGCTCGAGTAGCAAGCTGGGCACGAAAGAGAGGGAGAGAACAGTCGATCGGGGGCGGCGGACGGCGGCCGAGCTGTCCGACAACTGCTGCGGTGTGCGGCGGTGGGCAGCGACGAGCTCGGGCGGCGAGCAACAAGTAGGACGCCAGAGCAGTCGGGCGAAGGAAGAAGAAAACCAGAGAAGAAAAAGAAGAGAAAAGGAAGAAAAGAAAAAGAAAGAAAAAGACAGGAAGAGAAAGAGAGAGAGACGTGAGCGGGAAAAGGGGGAAGGGACGTTGCATGCATGGGGCAGAGGCGCAGCAGAGGGGGAGGAGAGAGAGAGAGAGAGTGAAAGAAAGGACAAAAGTCATAATTTGTCCTCAAATGCGATCCAATGGTCACGATTCGAACCCAAAAATCAATCTAACAGTCCATGAAAATCCTAATTAATAATTAGGAAAAAAGGCCAAAAGAAATCAAATAAAACACACTACGAGGGAGGTTTACTAGTCCGAATCCGCACCCGGTCAAAATTTCACTTTTCGCATATCCTTGGCAATATCGAGGCTGGCCACAATAATATCGACACCGTCCAATTAAATTCGTCTCGGAACTCCGAGAAATTCGACACCAAAGTTTGGGCTATAAATAACGGCCAAATTCAATCGAGTGCGATTCTAGCGAAATCTCTAGTTTAAAAATAATAACCCAGGAGTGATCAGTTCCGGGCGAGATTTTGTTATAAGCGCACTGACAAAATACACGTTTTATAAATCCCAAAAATGGGCCGAAATTCAGAATGTCACATTCCAGGAGGCTTTGCCGACCTGTTTCTTTTACCTTGCAATTAAGCACATGTGGAAGCATACTTGAACATCACCCAAACAACATCAAACGGATAGCAAAGAAAACACATAAACAAAACACACTTGATATATATATACCATCAATTTTTTTTTGGTTGAAGTATTACTTTCCATTCAAACACTAGGAAACGTATCACAAGAGAGAATATGACTAGAGTCAATACAAAATAAATCCCATAGAGGTAGGGGTGGTCTAGACATCCAGTTGGATGGTAGAAATCCTTTCCGATGATTTTTGGTTATCCAGTCTGCTGCTTGATTGCTGTTTCGTGGACAGTGGACCAGGGAAACCTCCTTTAATTAGGAGAGCAGTACATTACAATCAACAAAAAGGCTTCTCAAGGCCTATGGGCTTTCTTTTGGATTATAAGTGAGAATTACTAAGGCTTCATTGTCTGATTGTAAGCAAATCTTCTTTGCTAATATTTCCTTCTTCTTCATTGTCTCTGCCCGTAGACAGAGAAGAGCTTCTTTTACAGCGTTGCCTTCAGTTTCCAGCGGGGAGGAAGCAGACACAGTTTTGGTGAACCCCACAATAATCACTCCTCTGTAATCTCTGCATATCCCAGCCATCGATCCCTCTATTTTCCCTTCGATCCAAGACCCATCGACGTTGAATTTCAGAGTTCCTAGTTCTGGGGGCGTCCAGCGTTCTGCCTTCGCTTTGGCCGTCCAACTCCTCGATTCAGGTAAGTTTTGCTCCCGATAGTTTCTGTTTAGAAAAACAGCTTCTTCCACAATTGTTCCGGAGCTTGGACTAATTTGATTGAATACCCAGGCGTTCCTTGCCTTCCAAATTTGCCAGAGGACTCCTGCAAGCATTTCCCGACCCGATTGTGCTAAGCTTTTGGTGAGTGCTTCATCGATCCATTTGTCCATCCTTGTTAGATGTATCGGTGATACGTCCATCTGGATTCTCGGGTCTAACCATATGTTGTTGGTCCAGTCACAGAAGGTGAAGATGTGCTCCATCGTCTCGGGATGTTTTCGACAAATTGGACAAAGTGGGTAAGGTAAGGCCCTTCTTTTATATAGATTTTCCGAAGTTGGCAGAGCATTACTACACACACACCATATGAAAAACCGAATTTTTGGTTTTGTGCGTAATTTCCATATCTCTGTCCAAAGTGAGCGGGGCTACTGGTAAGACGATGACGGGAGTTCTGTATTTTGCTTGGAAGGAATTGCTCGAAGTCTGGAATAACCGTGTTTTACCGAATATTCTCCTATTGTAGCTCCATTCCATATTTGTCTATCGGTGTCCTAGATAGGATTGATCTTTATGGCCTAGATTTCGGACACAATCTCCTCCGGAAACAATCTTGTTAGCTGATTAACATCCCACGTTTTTGTCTCTTGATCTATCAGTTCTACCACTTTCTTTGGGTCCTCCCTGTTTGCTGGACCTCCTATGACTCTCCTTTCCAGCCATTTGTCCTCTCTTATGTTGATGCTCTCACCATTGCCGACATGCCGTCTCACATCAGGGCATATAGTATCCATTCCCAATAATATACTTTGCCACCCCCACGAGGACCAGGAGCCCTTAGTTGCTTTCCAAAAACTTCTGTTTGGGAAATAAATGCCTTTTAGTAGTTGGCACCACAACACAGTTGGATTTTGGGTCAGTCTCCACGCTTGCTTTCCTAGCATAGCCTTGTTGAAGGTAACTAAGTCCTTGAAGCCCAATCCGCCATCTATTTTCCTTTCTTTAAGGAGTTCCCATTTTTTTCCAGTGGATGCCCGATTTTGATGAATTCTGTTTCCACCAAAAGGAAGCTATTTTCTGTTCAATCGCTTTGCACACTGAGATTGGGATTTTGAAAATAGACATTGCATATTGGGGAAGTGATTGTACCACTGTTTTGATTAGAATCTCCTTACCCGCCTTTGAGAGCAGTTTTTCGTTCCAACCTTCCAACTTCATATTTACCCTTGCCAATATCCACGCGAACATCTGTTTTTTTGTTTGTCCCCAATCTGATGGGATGCCCAGATATTTCCCGGTTTTCTCCATAATTGGAACTCTTAGTTCATCCGCCAAATTTCTTTTGAGGATTTGAGGGCAGCCAGCACTATAAAAGATTCCGAATTTGTTTAGATTTATTGCTTGTCCTGAAGCGAAGTAGTATTGGTTTAAGATATTTGCCAGATTTTGGCATTCCCCTATTGTCCCATCCAGGAAAAAAATAGCGTCATCAGCAAAAAGTAAGTGTGACAACGTTGGGCAGTTCCTATTCAGTTTGATGCCTTTCAGACTCCCATCCTCAACAGCCTTTCTTAGTAGAGACGAGAGCATATTTGCCATGATTATAAACAAATAAGGAGATAGTGGATCTCCTTGTCTAATACCCCGTGTTGGTTGGAAGTACTTTAAAGGCTCACCGTTCACTTTAACGCTGAATGTGACTGAGGAAATACATTGCTTCACTAATGACACCCACTCCTGGCTGAATCCCAATTTCACCATGCTAGCGCAAAGGAAGTCCCACTCCACTCTCTCGTAAGCTTTTTGCATATCCAACTTTAGGATCGCCTGAAACTTCCTTTACCTTTCTCGAATTCTTAGTTGATGTAGGACCTCCTGGACTATGATTATATTATCTTCAATCAACCTCCCACTCACAAAGGCACTCTGTTATGTGGCAATTAGATTCGGAAGCCAGGGTTTGAGGCGATTTGCCATCACCTTTGAGATTATCTTGTAGCTGAAATTGCATAGGCTAATGGGTCTAAATTGTGTGATGCTTTCTGGATGGGTGACTTTAGGGATGATCACAATGTGTGTTTTGTTGAGTTCTGGATCGAGGTAGCCCGATAGGAAGAAATTGCGACAAGACTCGTGTAGATCATGTTGTAGTTCCTCCCAATGGTGATGGTAAAGCGGCCATTCATCCCGTCCGGTCCTGGGGCTTTTGTTGCTCCTAGCTGAAACACTGCTTGTTTGACCTCTTCTACGGTAACCGCTGCCATCAATGCCTCATTCATCTCATCTTGGCTTGGAAAAGAGCATTGGTCTAGAATTGGACTGAAGTTCCTGGTACCCACTGTTTCGAACAAGGATTCATAATAACTGGCGATGTGCTTGTTTATGTTGTTGGGATCTCTGCACCATGTGTTTTCAATTTTCAACATTGCAATTTTATTCCTTTGTCTTCTTTGGACCGTGGCGGCGTGGAAATATTTTGTGTTTTTGTCTCCCCACTTAATCCAATTAATTCTTGATCTCATGCCCCAATATTGCTCTTCTTGTTTCCACAAATTCTGGATTTGCACTTTGATTTGCTGCATTTCTTTTCTGTCGGAACCACCATTACTTGCATTTGTAACGGTCGTGAGTCTTCTTTTTAAGAACTCGATCTTGTTGTGGGCATTGGAGAATTTCTTTTTACTCCACAACTCTAGAGCATCTGAGGTCTTTTTCAATTTTCCAGCAAACGAAATTGGGATGACTTCTGGTACACCCCAAGCTTCCTTCACCAACTCCTTGCACTCCGCATCGGCCAGCCAATACGCCTCAAACTTAAAAACTTTTTTCCTTTTAGTCCTGTTTAGTTGGAGGGACAGCAGAATAGGACTATGATCGGAACCTATAGCAGGTAAAGCGAATGCTTCCGCATTTGGGAACCTCACTCTCCAATTTATGATGCAAAGTACTCTATCTAATCTTTCCCGCATGAGTGCATTTCCTTCCTATTGTTGGACCAGGTGAATGTGCATCCCTTGCTTTCGATATCCATTAGTGAGCATCTATTTAAACAGTCTTGGAATGCAACTAGTCTGTAGTGCTCCGCCCCATTACCACCTGATTTTCCCAATGGTACAATATTTCGTTAAAATCTCCAGCACATATCCAAGAGAGGTGATTAGCTGCCTTTATTACCTGTAGATGCTGCCACAGCCTGAGTCTTTCCTGGAAATTTGTGGGAGCATACAGGAAAGTGATGCGCATGAGAGTCCCACTATTTTGATCTCTACACAAAATGTCTATAAATTCTCTAGAGGAATCTTCCACCACCACCATCACCCCTTCGTTCCACATTACAGCCAAACCCCCGGCGATACCTTCGGGGTCTATTATCTCTATATTTTGGAAGTTGGTTCTTCTTTTCACTCTGTCGACGACCGGTCTCTTGTTTTTAGTTTCCATCAGGAAGACTAAGTCAGGCCTTTCTTGAGCCACTAAGGCTCTGAGATGCTGGACTGTCAGGGGATTGCCTAGCCCCTGGCAGTTCCAGCTCAAAAGTATCATATAATCCCCGGTGGCTTATTAGGGCTAGCCACTAGAGCCCAATCATTTCTTCCATCAACCAACTTGATCGGAGTGTCGAGGAGAGTACCTTCATTGATGGAGGGATAGAGAATCTCGCATACCCCTTGAGGATCGATTTTTTTCTGTTTCCTTGTTGCGGCCACTTTCTTAAAGGCTTTCGTGCTGATCTTCTCCCTCCTTGGTTTCTTCAATTGTCCATCTTTCATTGCAGACCCTGACCGAGTTAGCTGGGTGTCTTGGATTATGGAACCTAGCTGACCTTTCCCATTCAAGCAATCTGGTTGTGTCCCTTATGTTAATCTCTCCTTCTGAGGAGAGTTTTCAATCAGCCCAAGAATTGTCTTACCCTTAGATGTAGACAACTCTGGTTCTCTAGGAATAAGTTCCCTTTGTGTTTCCGGGATGACCTTGTTTTCCTCCGTAGAGGGACTATATGTACCGTAAAAGATCTTCCAAAAGGGGCTGGGTTCTCGAACTTCCACTCTCAGCCATTGCCCAAATTTGCTCCTTGCGTTTACAATGGGGCCCGACTCCGCAAAGGGAACTTCCTTGCAGTAGGTTGCATAATGCCCTATCCTCCCGCATGAGTAGCAGAAATGCGGGAGTCTTTCGTATCTAAAGTCCACCCAGATCTTCTTATGCTCCAGGTCTACAATAGTTCCTGTCTTTAGGGGGTTAGAAAGGTTCACAAGAACTCTTACTTTACAGCGTCTACTAGGGCCTCCTCCTCTTGAGTCAAGTTTCACTTCTACCACTTCACCAATCTTCCTTGCTATTTCCTTAACTGTATCTTTTGATAACCTCCCACGAGGAATACCTACCAACTGAACCCAAAAGGCACAGTGTGTGAACTCGTAGCAATGGTTGGGAGTATCCGGATCGCCTTGTTGAAGAACTAGTAAGTTACTCGAGAAGGACCATGGACCTGAATTCAATACCCTATTTTTTTCCTCTATCGAAGTGAAGGAAAAGGAGAAGAGCCCCGGCTCGATGAGCTCGCATTCTAACTGGTTCGTTTTCCATGACTTCTTCATTGTGTTAATGAATGCTTGAACATTCACCTTTGGTTTTGAGTACAGTTTCCCATATAAAGTTAATGCACATTCTTGTTGTTTTTCTGCAGGGATTTCGCCATTTAACCGCACGAGGTCATCTTCTGACCATAGATTTCCCAGTTCTTTACACAGGGCTGCCACCCGAGCTGCATTATCATCTTCCTTTGGCATAGTAGGTTCGATGTGAAACTCACTACACTATCTTTGTTCGATTATGGCACTTACCATGAACTCCAAATTGATCCCCATTTCTCCGAGATCGACAATGTTGTACTTCTATAGACAAGTGGCGCCGAAATAAACAGCTGTAAATTTGTCCTTAATGAGACAACTTAACTGGAAATATGATTGAACAGGCTATAGTTTACGGCTTCGCTCCTTCTTGCCCCAAGATTACACTTGTAGTTTAAAAGCTTCATCTACTTCGTACGAAAGTTGATACTAGAGGCTGAGCAGGGCACGGGGAGGATGGATGAGGAAGTTTGGGATGACTGAACTTTTAGGGTCGCGATGGAAGTTACTCAGTGTGAAGGGTGAAGGTTAGCAAAACTGGGGTTTAAATCGGTAGAGAAACAGCTCTTCTCGACCCACCGAAAGGAACCCCGACCCTACGCCTCAGACGGGGAATATTCTGCCATTCACGAAGAAACAGATGGCTTGTGCTTGAGGATTCCACGCCACTAAGGAAAATGATGACTCGATGGGGGGGTTTGGATTAGGGCATGACGAAGATGGATCTTTAGACTTCCTGGATTTATGGGAGGAAGGGAAGATTGGGATT